TTCCCTTCTTTTTTCTTTATTCCTCCACTCTCCTCTGTGGTCTCTCTGGTCCCCACCTACCAACCTACCTACCTACCTACCTACACACACACACACACACACACACACACACACACACCTCTACCTGCTTAAACACAGGGTGTTCCTTTCTAGACCTCTCTGCTGGAAGAAGTCCGTTCTTTCTTAGCATTTCTTTTCTTTTCTTTTTATTGGTTTTAGAGAGAGAGGAAGGGAGAGGGAGAGATAGAAACATCGATGAGAGAGAATATCGATTGGCTGCCTCCTGCATGCCCCCCACTGGGAATCGGGCCCACAATCTCAGCATGTGCCCTGACCAGGAATTAAACTGGCGACCCCTTGGTGCATGGGTCAGCACTCAACCACTGAGCCACACTGGCTGGGCTTTCTATAACACTTTATTTATACTTTGTCAGTTAGAAGGTTGCTCCTCAATCTGTGGTGTGTGGAGCATAGCAACATCAGCCTCTAGGGGTTGACTGGAAATGTAGACTCTCAAGTCCTGTCCTAGACCTACTGAATCGGAACCTGCCTTTCAACAGAGGCCAAGATCATCCTTACTCACATCACTGTTCGAGAAGCCCTGTCTTGGAACAGATATCCAATGTTGCTGTGTCAATGCATTCTGGTAGACTGTGTCTGGTCGTCGGGGACTGGCTTCATCTTTCATCCAAAGGGCACATGGGTGGCTTGGCACACACCAGAGGCTCTTCAGTGTGTGTTTTTGAATGAGAGCCTGTGCCTTCAATGAGGAGGGTATGTGAGGGAAATACAGGAGTGCAGGGCATGTTCGTGATTCTTGCCAGCAAGAAAGCTTTCAGATTATTTCTCATTTCTGTCATTGCCGTGGTTGCGTTTTATAGACCCTGGTACAAAGGGCTCACCCCATTATCAAATCTGTTTTCTCCTCTCACTCCTTTGACAAGTGCTGTAATGATATCGGGTATTTGAGCTTTCTGAAGCTCACGTGAACTTGTTGTCCAAGGGCATATATGTAAGATACAGGGAAACATTGTGCTGATATTTTCTGCAAAAGGTTATGGTTGTTCAACTGGCATCATTGTTTATTTGTTTTGAGAACTGGAAGCCTAATCACAAGGTCAGAGGAAGGTCCAGGATCTGATTTTGGTCCATCCAACTTCAGGAAATAATATTGTTTAGTTGATTATATTTGCTTTTTGAAAACATGGACAAGGAGAAGCTCCATAATTTCAAAAGGGCTTTTTTGATTTCCCTTATATATCCTCTTCAGATTCTTTCCCCCACCTTTCCCACTCTTCCTGGTGCTATGGCTTTTCATGCCATCTCTTCTGTCTTCTCTTCTAGCCTCTACATGTTTGTTTCGAAGTCTTCTCCTTTATGCCATTCCTTATTTCCATTATCAGTACCTCTGTATTACATAATGTGATATTTATGAACCTTCACAGAAATGCTGAGTATAATTAGTAAAGTTATAACTAATATAAATATGTAAAGTAAATATAAAAATAAATATACAAAATAAAATAAACAACTAGATGAAATAACTCTAATAAACATAACAATAAAATAAGTAAAATAAAATATAAGTATAAATAATATAATTATAAATAAACTTAGTAATCAAACAGATGATGATTTGACCTAAAAAAGAACAAGCCTGGTGGATGCTTGTGATTTTCTTCCTATTAGTAAAAGCAGACATGAATATGTAATTCTATTTGCATCCATTTTGTTTAGATGAGTAAGATTATAAAATTGCACCCTGGCCAGTTTGGCTCAGTGGTTGGAGCGTCGGCCCGTGGACCAATGAGTCATGGGTTCAATTCCAGGCAAGGGCACGTACCTCGGTTGCAGTTTGTCCCCGACCCTGGTGGGGTCATATGGTTGGCAATCAGTCGATGTGGTTCTATCACACTGATGTTTCTCTCTGTCTCTCTCTCTCTTTCTCTGTCTTTCTCTCTCTCTCCCTCCCATTCGATGTGATAGTAAGTAGAAAAATATCCTTGGATGCAGAATAAAAAACAACAGCAACAGAAAAGATTTTGAGCCCTGGCCAGTTTGGCTCAGCAGTTAGAGCGTCAGCCTGCGGTCCAGAGAGACCCGGGTTCGGTTCCTCACTGAGGGCACGTACCTCAGTTGCAGTTTGTCCCCGGCCCTGGTTGGTCGTGCAGGAGGCAGCCACTCGATGTGTCCCTTTCACGTCGATGTTTCTCTCTCTCTTTCTCTCTCTCTCTCTCTCTCTCTCTTTTCCTCTCCCTCCCTCCCACTCTATCTGAGGATAAAAAAAAAAAAAAAGAAAGAAAAGATTATGAAATTGAATACTTCTTTCTATTTCCACTTATCATTTTCTTAGAAGACGTTTTCTAGTTCTGTGCTCTCCATGTGGCATTTCAATGGATGCAAAAAGGAGTTATAAAAAATAAAACACAACTTGTTTGGCCTTCAAGATGTTAAGGGGCTTCACAATGAAATAAAAAAGATGAGACAGACAGGAGTAACATAATACAAGGTAGAAGGGGTACATACAAACATACATGCAACACGATTGTCATAGAGTTTTTGCTTAGAGAAATCCAGGAGGTACTGAATACGCAGAAATGCAGGAAGTGTATTAGAGCCTTGAAGGACTAGTTTCTGTTACTCTGGTTACTGTATTCATGGCCATATTCTCATGTCCTCTCTCTTTTTCCTACTTCACTGTCTCTCTCACTTCCTTTCGCAAAGTCTCTTTCTACCTTTCTGTCCTTTTGTCCTTCCATTTTTTGTCTTTGGTGGACTAATGTTTATACAGTGTTCATTCTGAAACCAAACGTTTCCAAAAGCACAGAATTCTCTGTTTGGTAGTCATTTTACAAACCCTTTATGTGAGCTTATCTGTAGCTAAATGTCTTCCTGTCCTGGATGTACAATGAATCATTTATTTGTCTTCATAGGTCTCAATACTAACTCATTATTCTAAAGATTGTTTTCTGTTTTTATTTCTTCCAGAAGTATATTTGCCCCTTTCTTCTAGTTTTGCTGCTAGTTTGTAATAACAAGAATTAGTTTTCACTCTTGTGTGTGTCTGTGTTTAGTTATTTTTTTTCCTCTAAAATTTATTGTAGTAAAAATTATAGTTGTTATAGGCTTAGGAGGTATTGGGAAAATATAATTAAAAACAAAATCTCTCAACCCAGAAATCCTGTCCACAAAAGTAAGAGAGAAAGAAAACACGTTTATTATTGAAGAAGCATTAAACCAGAATGTGATGAACATCTCAGACAACCCACTGAGAGACTGAAAAGGCAGGAAGAAATGTCACCCTTTCATAAAGCCACACAGACCAATGAACACACGTTTTCAAGATGAACAATAACTTGTCCTCAAGTGGGAGGACTCGGTAGCATCATTTGTCTCACATGGTTCATCCTGACTCTACTTGGTAATAGGGATGGCTATCTGTGTTGTTCAATCGACTTTATCCGAAGGAAAACCCTCTCATATCTTTATTTTTTGAACTGTATTTTGTTGTGGTAAGTCTACTTAACATAAGATCTACACTCTTAACAAAATGTTAAGTCTACGATTCATTATTCTTGACTATAGGTACAATGCTGTACGGCAGATCAATAGAGCTCATTTGTCTTCCATTGATTCCTAACTTTCATTTCTCCCTTCCCCCAGCCCTAGCAAGCAGCATTCCACTCTTTGACCCTATGAATTTGACTATTTTATATCACTCCTATAAGTGGAATCATGCGTAATTCTGTGACTGTTTTCTTCCACTTAGTATAATGTCCTCAAAGTTTATTCATTTTGTGGCATATTGCAGAGTTTCTTTCATTGGGAAAGCTGTATAGTATTACATTGTGTGTATGTACAACATTTTCTTTGTCCATTCATCTGTGGATAGACATTTAAGTTTTTTTCCACATCTTGGCTTTTGCAAATATGGAGTGACGATATGTCTTCGAGATCCCAATTTCAGTTTTTTTGGAAAAACACTCGCAGTGGGATTGCTGGATTTAACAGGAAGCAGTTTTGCAATTTGGAGCAAGGTGTACCACTGAATTTAGGCTTCTGCTTTTCCATAGAACCTGGGAGGTATCACCCCTATCTTGTTGCTCACATTTCACAAACATAGTCCCAGGTCTTTGAGAAAGACAATTCTATGGAACAAAGTTGACAGCAGACTAGTTATATAGTCTTCAGAGGATTTACATAAAGAGATGAGAAAGTACCCCAAAATTACTATTTTTCTAAAATAAATACTCTAACAAAAAGGAGAAGAGGGAAATCATTTCCCTTATTATTTATTTATTATCCTCACCTGAGGACATTTTTGCATTTATCTTCAGACAGAGTGGGAGGGAGAGAGGGAGGAAGAGAGAGAGAGAGAAACATCGATGTGAGAGAGGCACATCAAGTGGTTACCATCCACACGACCCCAACCAGGGCCAGGGACAAACCACAACCAAGGTACGTGCCCTTAGTGGGAACTTAACCCGGGACTTTTTAGTCCATGGGCTGACACTCTAACTGCTGGCCAGGGCTATTTCCCTTATTGTATTGTATTGTATTGTTTTAATTTATTTTATTTTTTTGGTATGTGCCCCTAGCGGAAACCGAACCCGGGACTCTCTAGTCTGCAGGCCGATGCTCCAACTGCTGAGCCAAATAGGCCAGGGCTATTTTCCTTATTTTTAACAAGGAGAATTAAGGTTCTTATTTTTAATTTGTATTTGTCCTTATGGAGGCTAGGACATATTTTAGTGTTTAACTAATGTAGTCCAGAATTTAAGTCTTAGTTTTTTCTGAGTTTATGATGAACCAGAGATTCCTCTGACATTTGTCTTCAGCCTTGTGTAACACATTATATACCTTCATGTTGGAATCCGATTTGAAAATTTGTTAGCATTTCTAAAATTAAAACATTTTTTACTGTGGTAAAATTTATGTGAAATTGACCATTTTAACCATTTTAAATTAAGTACCTTCACATTGCTGTTCAACGGTCACGGACACCCATTCCCAGAACTTTTTCATCTTCCCAAGTTTCAACAGAAACTGTGCTCTTTAGACTCCGGCTCCCTGTTCCTCCAGCTCCTGGCAACTGCCATCAGCATCATTTTCTCTACCTGCTAAAAACTGCCCATGTAAGCGTTCAGGGTGGTTTGCACAATACTGATGGGCCTTGAGAATATCATGCTAAGCAAAATAAGTTAGGCAGAAAAAATTGAGAACTAGACGATTTCACACATAGGTGGGATCTAAAACAGAGCAGCAAATAAACAAACGAGAAAACAAACAAAAACTCGTAAACACAGACAACAGTATGGTGGTTGCCAGCGGGAAGGGGGGTGGAGGTAAAGGGTAAAGGGGTCAAATGCTTGGTGACAGAAGGTGATTTGACTTTGTGTGGTGGGCACACAATGTAAAATACAGATTATGTATCCTAGAAATGTACACTTGAAACCAACGTCATCTTATTAACCAATGTCACCCCAATGATTTATTTTATCCTCACCCAAGGACATTTTTGCATTTATCTTCAGAGAGAGCGAGAAGGAGAGAGGGAGGAAGAGTGAGAGAGAAACATCGATGTGAGAGACACATCAAGTGGTTGCCACCCACACAACCCCAACTGGGGCCGGGGACAAACTGCAACTGAGGTACGTGCCCTTAGTGGGAAGCGAACCCAGGACTCTCCTGTCCGTGGGCTGACGCTCTAACCGCTGAGCCAAACCAGCCAGGGCAACCCCAATAAATTAAAAAAAAGAAAACTGCATAGAGAGGTTAGCCGAGTTCTGTTTACCCAGGATTTGAAACACAAGGGTGTTTTCTGGGGAAATGTCCTGGGAAAAACCACATTAAAACTATTGAATGAGGTGCCCCCCCTTATTCAAGTGCTGGTACATTAATCGCAAATGATCTAAGTCTGTGCAGCTCCCAGAAGTATCTCATTTGTGTCACTCCATTCTTTTTTCAAAGTAATAAAAACTGCTTTTTGAGTAAAATGGTGTCACTTATAATTCCAGGATTTTACTTATGTAGATTGACATTTTCTACTACCTTTGCTTTAGTGAATCTTTATCTTTCTTAATTGATCTTTTTTGCGTGATACGCAATAAATAAGGGCACTTCCTTCCTTCATGTTGCTTATCGCCTGCCACGGGCCCTGGGGAGAAGGATGTGAAAGAATTGGGGCTGACAATCTGCTGCAATCAGAGAACCTTGTTTAAAACCAAGCTCTGCGATTTGATTGCTGCGGTAGCTTGAGTAAGATACTTCACTTTTGTGCACCTAATTTCTTCATCTTGTAAAACAGGACAGTTTTATTTCTTTCTGAATAAGCGTTGTGAATATCAAATAACATAAGACAGGAGAAGCAGCCCGGCATGCACTGTCAAAGCATGGATTACTTCCACTGATTAGGGTACCTAGCATGTGGTAGGGAATTGGAAAATGTTTGTTGAATGAACAGATAGTGTTCTCAAAGTTAAATGTCGGAGGGTTCTCTCCTCCGCACGCATACTCCTGGCTGAATGCCTCACTCTGCTTTCCTCTGGCTCCTGGTCACATCCCCCTCTCCTGCTTCAGATTGAAAATCTCTGGAGTTCAGAGTTTGGGGAGTGATAGGCAGGGACCAAAGGCGTGTTTGTTATGTCCTCACATTAGCTCTGTGTTTCTAAGTCTAGATGCTTCCTCTGAGCTTCTGCAGGGTTAGAAATGGCACTTAGATATACAGTCATCCACTAGAAAATATTCAGAAGGAAGAAGGGAATTTTCTTGTTCCCCAGCAGCAGCATGCACAGGAAATTTCACGCTGCCAAAAAATAATGAGCAGCCGTAATGTTGAATCAGACACTGTGAATCCAAATTAAACAATACTCCGTGGCAATTCCCAGAGGTCCCCTGTGTGGACACTCAGGCAGGAGTCACGAGGGTCTTCTGTTCAGTGTCATCATCAAGCACAGGATAAGTGCAAATGTGTGCATTATAAGGCATAACCAAGTCTTACACTGACAAAGCAGATGCCAATCTCAGGGTCTTCTTGTAAACTATCTGACAGATTTCAGGGAGAACACAGCTCCCTGAAAATGATCTGGAGAAAATGATGAGTACGAGAGACCAGAGGTGTGGAAAACAATGGAAAGAGTAATGGCATTTTCCTAGACTGAGGATCAGCCCGTAGGACAGCGTGCCATGGGGCAGAGGAGCTGCTGACTCCCTCCAGAAGATGGCAGTCATTCAGTGCACCACACTGAGCACTTTCTGTGTGCCAGGCTTCATGCCACCATCAGAGGTAAACCCTGTTCTCAAGGGTCTCAAGAGAGAAGACATGCACACTTAATTGTAGGACAGGGTAAGAAATGGCTTTCATGGGACCATAAGGAAAGCTGTAAGGAGAAAGGATACATTTCTGGCCAAAAGAAGAAGGAGGTATCATGAAGGAAACGGTTTGGGACATGCATCTTGAAGGGTGGGCAGTGTTTGTACATGTGAAGAAGGGCATGCAGGGCATTCCAGGCAGAGGGATGATTAAATGGGAGGGGAGGCATGGGCATGATTTATTGCACCATCTGTATGTGCACCTGGGGCCGGAGTCCAGGTTATATGAGTCGTGGAGCAGAAAGGGTGGGATAGTGGAGTTTTGGCACCAGATCCAGAATGTCGAATGAAGGACATCGGGGAAATAGAATTAAGATGAGCTGTGTGGGAAAATCGATTTGGTCCCTGTCATCAGTCAGCCTTTACAGGTGTCCTCATGGCCCCGAAAACTTTCCTACAGCTTTTACCACCTTCTTGTTTGTCATGTGGTAAAGTTTTTCTTTTCTTCTTTTGGCTTTGGAGAATAAGATTTCCGTCTGTGTCCAAGCATCAGTGGATAGAAAGGGTATTTACGTGCCAAAAAATCTACTACTGGTGTTTAGGTCAGCCTAATGAATCCATGCATTTCATCATCTTTCTCTTTTTCAGAGAAGGGCAGACCAATTAAAAATAATAACACTTCTAATTTTTCTAGCATATATTAAGGTCACCGAGGGAAAAGGGTTATTTACTGGGGCTCCACATCTGTACTGACTGATTTTATAATTGGAGAAATAATAGGTTCCCCCTGTTTTTCTTCTCTTTCTCCACGGTATCTAATGTTCTGATTTGGCAACAGGCTTTTTATGCATCCAAAATGCGAGAAGTGAAATCATCACCAGCTCCAATTAGATGTACTGACCGAGCATAACATTACTATACTTAAATCCAGCAGCATGTCCTATGTCTCATTTTAGTTAACCATTATGGTATTGTTTCTACATCAGCTTGCTACAGGGATGGCTTAGCAAATTAGAAAATTGATTTGAATTTCCTACTTTTTCCCCCAATTAAGAATTCATGGCCCTTACCTCACTCGGAGTTTTTCCTAATATGCCTCATGAGAGAATTTACAGGAATTTCTCACAGCTTGTCTATTGCCAGTACCTTATACAGACGAAACCCCTCTTTCTCCGAAAGAACTTCAGTCAGCATTTCTAAACTCTGCCAAGAATCATAGAGCTGGGTGATATTTTAAACAGATTCATAAAGTCAGTTAAGTATGAGGAGCACTGTAAATGATTCCTAAGTAATTTAGTTTCACAGCGTGCATTAGCCTTCTAAAGACCCCGAGAAATCCTGTAGAAAAAGATAACTTTTTAACCTCATTTTTACTTAATATTAATCACCCAATGTTTCTGTAAAATGAGGGTACCATACCAACCTACAATTCTTAAAAATTATTCTGCAGAAGCCCACGTTGGACAATATGGATCAATATGTGGCCTTCAGAGGGTCTAAGTTAATCGAAGAATAAAATAAAATAGAAATATATCCATAGCCTTGCATTTAGACAGATGTATTGAATTCCTCATCTGTCTACCAAACAAGATTTATTTCTATCAAACAGGATTTTTCTGTAAGTTGGCAATCCTTTAAACCCTGTGTGTATCTACAGAGCTGCTACATCTTACATTATTTTCCCAAATCCAAAGAAACGCCAAAAGGGATGGAAATAATGAGACAGCAATTTCGGCTGCAGAATGCCCATGTCGCTGACCCTGCAGGGTTATTGCAGAGTAAGATGAATTATGCAAAGGGGCCACCCCAGGCTTTGGAGTTGAAGTGCCCTGTTGTAATTCACTGCGGGATCATTCATGTAGCCAGAATTTTGATATGATTATTATTCCACCAAGGTTTTATCCGCCCCTAGACAATTACAGAACCACTTACCAGCATCTCTCATTGACTTCTTATTTAAAATTCCCAGGGCCACGGCAGGCATCGCGGTCCTGTTGTCGGCGACAGCTACAGATCAATGGCGTGAAGCAATAGGGATTTTCTTTAGGACATGACGGATGCTGAGATTGTTTACTGAGCAGAAGGCAGACATCCGGACTCCAGTAGAAAATAGTGTTTCTGGGGCCCTGTGCCTCTAACATAAACATTTAAAATAACGACAAGAGCAGAGAGGATACATATGATGGAAAGATCACGAGATTTGATGTTAGGATGTCACTTCGGGGAAATCACTACTTTCTCTGTAAACAGTGTTTTCTGAAAATGATGTTTCTGAGCCCCATGTCTCTAACACAAATGTTTAAAGTAATGACAGCAAGAGCAGGAGATTTGGTGTCATGATATCTGAGTTCGAACGCTGGTTTCACCATTTATTATCTGTGCCACTTTGGGAAAATCATTATTCTTTCCGTAAAATGAGATTGATATGAAATACCCAACTGCTGGCAATTTTCCGAGGTTTAAATGAATAAATGTGTGTGAAAAAACCCCACAAAAACCTTTGTGAATGGCAAAGTGTTTTAAATATATTTTTTGTGCTAATGAGAAAGCCTTCCATTCTTTAACTGGTGGTGTCAGCATAATCAAACGTGCTTTTTATGGCCGGATTGCTTGGGCAATGTCCTGTTGACTCCTTTAATCACTGGTACTGCTACCTAGGGCAGAATGTGGTCACCATGCATTGATATGATTAGCAGCTTCAAGGAGTGTGTGTCCTTGAAATGATGTGCAGAATAAAATGCCTACTTCTAATTGCTGTTCCTAGTCCATGGTTTTAGGGACTTCATAATTGCAAGATAATACTCGTCTAATTAGAATTTTT